GTCAGAATTCTGACTTTAATCTCAGAATTCTGACTTTAATCTCAGAATTCTGACTTTTTTCTCAGAACAAAAAAACATTATTTTTTTTGGGAGAAAAAAGTCAGAATTCTGACTTTAATCTCAGAATTCTGACTTTTTTCTCAGAACAAAAAAAAAACATTTTATTTGGGAGAAAAAAGTCAGAAATACCGGTAACTGTAGAACCAGCTTCACTGCGATTTACACATTGCAGATGGTTGTAAAATGACTTATTATGGTTCCCTCTTGGACCCCTCTGGCGCGCAGAAATTCACTCACGTCCTCCATTGTTGCCTACTGCAATGTGTAAATCGCAGTGAAGCTGGTTCTACAGTTACCGGTATTTCTGAGAAAAAAGTCAGAATTCTGAGATTAAAGTCAGAATTCTGAGATTAAAGTCAGAATTCTGACTTTTTTCTCCCAAAAAAAAAAAAGTTTTTTTGTCCTGAGAAAAAAGTCAGAATTCTGAGATTAAAGTCAGAATTCTGAGATTAAAGTCAGAATTCTGATTTTTTTTCTCCCAAAAAAAAAAAATGTTTTTTTTGTTCTTAGAAAAAAGTCAGAATTCTGAGATTAAAGTCAGAATTCTGACTTTTTTCTCAGAACAAAAAATAATAATATTTTTTTCAAATCCTCACAAAAAAAAGTTTTATGTGGCCCTAATCCTCTTCCGTATATATCAGAGTATTAGAGTCATTACTTTATGCATTCTTTGCAAAGTATGAAAAAGGTATATGCACCTTGGAATCCGTGCTGAAGTTCTCTGCTGCTAGGACTCCAGATCTGTCTCTCCTCCTCTGGTCCAGCCTGTCTGGATCACCTTAAGGAGACTTTGAACAAACAGATGTAAAGTTACATGCATGGGTTACAGACTTCTTTACATGCAAACAACTTTGTATCTTCTTTTAAAAACAGGTCATAATCTTATTGTTATACTTAAGAAATTGATGGATATCACAGTCCTTATACTGTATCAGTTTGATTGAGTATTATTGTGTAGGTCCTTTTTATTTTACTGTTATTTTGGATGAGTTTTTCATGAGTCAGTCAAATTAATTTGTTTTCAAATGCCATATTCATATGCATCACACGCGTAAGGGTAAGACACAAACCTATTGAACAAATGCAATGCAATGGATAAGCTTCATTCTGACTGAAGTCACAGATAACATCATACTGCATCTAATATTTAAACAAATAATTTCCTTGTCACTAAAGCATTGACTACGCTATTCATCGTCCTTAAATGCAGGCATTAAGTTACATGTTCCGTTGTACAGCCACGATAAGGCTGTTTCTCAAGTGTGAGGATAATACAATTAAAAGAGGCATTGGTAATAATATTAAAAACAACAATGTTTGGGTCGTTCGTCGGATAGGCGGTTAGCTGCAATACATAACTCCAGTTCAACAAACCATATTACAATATCTAAGAGAGCGTTATTATCTTGAAATGTGACGTTCATATTTTAAAGATACACACATTTTATTGTGAGGTTGATTTAATATACACTAAGCCTCTCTTCAACAATACGTTGACGTTAGCTAGTCAATTTTATGCTATAGTAGAGCATAGCGAATTTAAATGAACCTTAACAATGCATACATTAACCTAACTATCTAACGTACAAGGATGACCTTATTTTAGCAACCTCGCACAGAAGTTTTTTGGTATATAGTAGCATCCCACTTAATGTTTTACACTCTTGGATGCTACGCATAGCATCGTTAGCACAGATGGAACTACGATTGCTCAAATGCTAACCCAACTCTAAACATTCATTAACGTTAGCTTAATAAAAACACCAGTAACATAACATAAAGTACGCAGGGTTGACTTACCGAAGAAACTGCATTCATGGACGGTCTGTTTTAACCGCAGATAAATCCTATATTTGCAGGACGAATAGTCCACCAGGAACCAACACTACAAACACGTTCCGAGTTCAAGTAGTCAATCAATCAATCAATCAATCAATGTTTATTTATATAGCCCAATATCACAAATGTTACATTTGTCTCAGTGGACTTTACAGTTTGTACAAAATATCAGTATGACAATACGACACCCTCTGTCCTTAGACCCTCACATCGTACAAGGAAAAACTTCCGAAGAAAACCCACAGTTTAAAGGGAAAAATGGGAGAAACCTCAGGGAGAGCAACAGCGGAGGGATCCCTCTCCCAGGACGGACAGACGTGCAATAGATGCCGTGTGTAAATTGAAAAGATAATACATTTGCAACATAGGTAGTCCAAATATTTGGAAATGCATGTGTGTATAATAGGAAGATGAATCCACGAGGATATCCATCCAGGACCTACGATCCAGGACCACAGCCACGACTCAAGATCCAGGGCTCGCGATCCAGGACAGAGGAGCGCAGGATCATCCATGACTCCGGATCCCGGCGTATATAGAGACCAAAAAGAAAGACATTTGGGGAAGCTGGGTTAATCGGAACATGAGAGTACACAGGTATAGACAGAGAGAAGGAAGAAGTAAGATGTCCCCCGACAAACTAAGCCTATATCAGCAAAACTAGGGGCTGAATCTAATCAGCCCTAACTATAAGCTTTATCAAAAAGGAAGGTCTTAAGCGCACTCTTAAAAACGGATAGGGTGTCTGCCGCCCGAACACAAACTGGAAGCTGATTCCACAAATGTGGAGCTTGATAAGAAAAGGCTCTGGCTCCCATTGTACTTTTAGAGACTCTAGGAACAACCAACAACCCTGCATTCTTGGAACGCAATGCCCTAGTAGGACAGTAGGGTATAATGAGTTCTTTAAAGTAAGTAGTGTTCTCCTCATGAGCTGAGCCGCTGTAGCATCACGGAGCCAATGGAACTAGCAGAGAGGAGCTAGGAGCAGCAGTCCCGTTGTCATGAAGGGGGAATCTAACTATATACAGAATATGTTTTTGTGGATCCAGGCTAGAAACATGTTCATTTTCTGATATTAAAGGAGACCTATCATGCTATATTTAAATGATATAGTGTATGACCATACCTATATAAGGTATATTTATACATTTTATTTTTCAAAATACCAAACAGATCATTTTTTAGCCATGCCTCGTTTCGCTCATTTTCGCTCTTTTCCAAGCCTGTCTTTGAAAATTCTGAGCAGCAGCTGACCACGCCCCCCTGCAGAAGAGCGGGGCATGAGCCGGCGAGAGTCACGTTACCATGCTTGCTGTGATTACGTGTGGAATAAACATGTCATCTCAGAGCAATGCATGTGTTCAAGCGTATTATCAATTTGATCCAGAGACTGACCCTGAAGCAGCGGAGGTTTTGGTGGAGGTGGAAACATCTCGGTTGCAGCAGGACGTTTCTGAATGGTTAGTTGACAAGCTGTTGTTCCTATTTATTTTACTCTGTTTCGATGATTGCTACTTATTCCGTTCATATTTTGGCTAATTAGCAAGAATGCAATGTGTACAGTTTGTAACTTAGAGTTTGTAACGCAAAAACAGCGATACATATAGCCTATATATTTATAAAGGGAGACATTCATATTTTCAGCATATATACAATGGCCTCATTGCGTTTATTAATAGTTTACAGCCCTTTTCTTCCAACATCGTGCAACAACCGTTGGAAAGTTCAATAACTTAGGGTGATAAAAAGTATAACTCCAACAACACCTCAGTTGTCAGCAGTGTGTGTAGTTTCATGTGTTTTTAAAAGCTCAGTTATTGACTTCTTTCTACAGGTGTACATGTGCAAATTGCGCCACGATGCCTTCTGAACCGGAGAATGTGTGCTGCATGGCGATACCACAGGTAACATTTTTGATAGCTTCACTAAGTTGTCTGTTTAGAGAATGCAACCCTAACCCTAACATGTCATTCAATATGTTTATCACACTAGGTGTCAAGACGGATGCAGGAACTTGAGGACTCTGTAACCTGTATGGTGGACCATCCTGGATTGGAGCCTGTGTGCCTGAATGTGTTCTCCCTGCAGATGCATTGAATATTTACAGAGCTGAACATGGACTACAGTTGAGGCAAATAGAGCAGTGAGTAGTTTGTTTCTTTTGACTGAAATTGTAAAACGAATGCTAATATTGTTCATGGAAATAAATACTGGTGTATATGGCTTTATGCAATCTTTCATTGTACATGTACTATTATATATATATATATATTATTACACAGCAATGGCATAACACACCCATGTGTACGACAACAAAAGTCCACACACAACCTTATGCTTTTGAAATCAGAATATTCTTTACCCATCCAAACATGAATAATCACGACACATTTGATATCAACTCGGAACTTTATTGTCAAAATCAACAGTTCTTTGAACCCATAAAAAAAACTAAATGTACTTGTATTATATATAAATGACACAATATATTTTTTTAATGATTGCAGGCGTCACAGGTATCTAGCCTACAGAAGCTTTGTGAGCTGGTGCTGGGGCTTCCTTGGACGCAGGATCAGAGTGGTGATTCCGGCCTGCGTTGTCCTCAGGATTCGCAGGGAGTTTCCTGATCCGCGAAATATCTATGTTGGGTTCAGACGGCAGCCAAATTGAACCATGTAGCATACCCGGAGATCACCTCCTCCCTGTCAGGTCGCTCATATTGGGAACACAGGTCCTCTGGGATGGGTATCTTCAGAAGCTCCTGTGTGAATGGTGCAGGGTCCACAAAGACTTGGTCGAATATGAGGTCCATCAAGTTGGCCACGTAGCCTGTGCAATGTTAAAAAAAGCACAACAAAAAATGTGGTTTAGATATGCATGTAAAAAACTGAAAGTTCTTTCTAATTTTTTTATATTTGTAAATAGTTATATAATAAATATTTTAAACACTTACAGAATGTGGGGTCAGTCTTTACTGGTTTTGCTCTGCATTCTCCCTTCCTGGCCTTTGGGAACTGCAGTTTATACAGAGGCTTTCCAGTGGATGTAGTGGCTTGTGCACGCTCAGCGTTTTCATTGTAGTGCAGGGCTGCCAGGTACAGTCTTTCATTTCCGCCATGAGGGAAAAAAAAGTAAATAATAGCAAAGAATGTACAAATTGTCACTAATTAGTAAGTAACTATGGTTTATTTTACCTGCACAACATTCCAAGAAATGGAAACACAACATTCTTTGGAGCAAAGCGTAGGATGACGGCATGGAATGACTCCAAAGATTAAGTCTGGTGGTGTGGGCTGAGTTTGGCCACAGCTTTCAAAATCCTCTTGGTTGAGAGAATTGTCTCCAGCTTGTGAAAGGCCGGCGTTCCTAAGAATTTGAAAATCAAAGTCATATTTGAATTGTCATGCTTTATAGATTGTGTCTGACAACATCCTGTATTCAATAGTTGTCCCTTACAAATATTTATAGAGTAATGTAATATGGTTTATGAACAACATACCTGCAGCCATCCATTGGTATTGCGCAATGCGCAGTGGATGAAGGCACTTGGGGAACAGGGGGTCATCATGAGAGTGGATATCCTGCACGTGGTTCAGGATGGAAGTCCATTTGGCTACTCTCTCAGGCCCGGTGGTGGAGGTTGCTGCAGTCCAGTATATGTGGTTTCTTATACTCTTCACCCACCCTCGAAGTTTTTCGCAGTCCTTCTTTTTTGCAGCCTTCTCCAGTTGCTTAGAAATCCCTAATAAATACATTTAACATGTAGTTAATATACAAGTTTACTCAAAATATTATTATATTATTATTATAGAAATTAACAAATAAAAATACCTTTTTCTATGTGCCACACATCAAAGAATTGGGTGATGCTGCTTTCCCTTAGGAATTTCTGAATTTGCAGATGTCTGTCCGTGACAATACAGTCCAGAGTCACACCACGTTCCTTTAACAACTCCAGACTCCTTTTCAGGCCCTCTAACTCCATGTGGTAGCTTCCACCAACCTCATTGCTCTGTTATGACACATACAAATAACCATTGATACACACATTTTAAATATAACGTGCAAACAGTGTTAAAGAAAAAAACATTGATATTTCATTTCACCCCACTTACCTGAACCAACTGGAGGTCAACGACTTTGTTGTTCTTCAGGTCCATCGTAGTATAGCTTCCGAACTTTGCAGAGTGGCCTGTGAAAATATGTTTTACAGTAATTACTTTTCTCTGCGGATGGTGAATTTGTATTTTTGCTTGTAGTGTTTAGCATATGTTTTTCAGGAACCATTAATTGAACAAATCACACATAGTGAAACCCCTTTCTGAAATGTAAAATGTGAATTATATAAAAAATACATACCTGGGGAGTCAGCAACTATCACTTTCTCCTCTGCATGGAGCTTCTGTAGCATGCCTTCCTGTGATTTTTGCCAGTAAGAAATAATCGCTGGCTCAATGAACATCCTGGCATGCCTTCGGAAGGTGTTGTATTTGCATAGCTGCATATTCATTGTTTGAAGACCTAATGGTTGAAAGAAAACCGCAAGAATACATTTTAATCTCAAAGATCACCTGTAGATGTGTCAATGAGGAGAACCTGGAAAGTGCAAATGAGCTGCCCTTTTTTTAAACAGGGAAAGAGCTGAACATGTCATTAGGGGTGCTTACTCTACAGTGCCCCTTTCACTTCTCTTCTCTTTCTCCACACCACCCTCCCAAAAGATCTTTACATATTAGCATGGGTCGTTACCTAACAGTGCCCTATTCCCACCTTTTCTCACTCTTGTTATTGTTACCTTGTCCTATCTTATTCAACAACAACATTTGCATTTTCAAACATTGGCAATACAATCTTCTGCAGTTAATTTACCTTTGAAAGTTTGTAGAAAGATGCTCCGTTGACATATGTTGCAACTGATAGCTGCAGGTTTCCAACTGGAGTACTCCCAAGAACAGGCTGGCTATTCCAGTTTCTTGTAAACTGACAATGGGGGCACAGCTGCTGCACTGATATGAATGTACCGATCCTTCTGGTTTGAACATTACACACACACTTGCACACAGGACATGATTCAAAAAGCTCCATGAGGCAGGTCTCATACACGATGTATGTGTTGATCGTCTGGGGGGGGGGTTTTGTTCTTGACGACTAAAACAAAAAAATAGAAGTTAAGATCCATCACACAGATTGTTGCTTTAGAGATCTTTGGTGTTTCCCTATTATCAATGTTTGAATTATATACAGCAAAAAATACAATACATAGACAAACTCACACATAGTGATATTTCAGTAACTCGGCTTGAAATACATGGCTGTTGTTTCTGTAGCATTTGTTATGGATTCTGCTGGATCATAAGTTGCATCCTGGCCTTCGGAAAACACCAAAGAAGAGCTTCCCTCAAATGGATCTTCGTATTCCTCTTCAAGATCCACACGGGGCCTCTTTGGTGGTCTCTTTAAGGGGGTGGATGTTAAAAAGGGCACTGGCACTTCCAACGGAAGTGTTTCGACACCAACGCTTCTGCAGGGAATTTTAGCCTGGACAGCTGTAACATAATTGTATTTGACATTAAAAACAAAACAAAAGATAAAACAAAAATATTTTACAACAATTAGAAGCACACAAATTAAAGGCTACAACATCAGAATGTCAAGATGTATCCAAAGAACATTTGAAAAACGTGCTTCTAACCTGTACTTCGATGTGAACCAAGAGTCCTCGAGGATAGCTATGTACGAACAGTACGGTACTTGGGTGGGTCAGTCTGACATGCATAATCTGTCATCACAGGTAATCTGCTGGTAGCATGTGAGGTGCTGGCCTGTAAAGAAGAAAACAAAATCATCTCAATTTAGTATTCAGGATGAGAAAATACTATTTGGATAAATATAGTCTGAAATCCCAAAAGATGGGGGCTAAAACTCTCTATTTAGCAAAGCTCTTTGCTTAGCCTTTTCCAATCTGAGTTAGTTTTGAACCGTAACGTGCATGCTGTGTTTCTGACTCAATACAGATGATGTGTTGGAGAGGGGCTGAGCTCAGTAGACTGACTGTAATGAGTGCTAGCCACTAATTAGCCTGTTGCTAGGTAAGGCCTCGTCAACAACAACAGACCAACGGGGCTTTAGTTCTGTTTTACTCATGGTGTGTGTCCCCCCTCACATACATACAGACAGTGTTGTATCCTAACACATCCCCATTTATATTCATGTGCGTAAACAAGTAAACATACAAAAGCTTTTACATATAACGCTGGAAAAAACGGCATGTCTCATTAGCGTAGCGTAGCTTAGTTTACAGATCTGATCGTTCTTACAGACTACAATCACAAAAGCTTTTACATATAACGCTGGAAAAAACGGCACTTACCTACAGAAGATTACGTTTGTTATTATAACTTACTCAATATGATTTTAGAGGATACAAAATACTAATAAATAGGAGAATAAATACTTGTGTTATCGGCTAGGGCGTGGCTTTACAGCCTTCACACAGATCGCCATTACGGCAGTATGTCTGAACATGTTAGCAAATGCCTGATAATTAAAATAAAAGACAAAGCAAAGACTGCGGAGCGTACAATATAAAATGTTATAAACACCTAACCGATTACTATTTGGGTTTGAGGCGACATTGATACGGCGAAGCTACATGCTACAAGCTAGAGATAGCTTTATCAGGAAAAACACCGCTAAATAAAAACTTACAGCTTCAAAATTGGATGTGTCCTCACTGGCCTGCTCCCGGATGGTTGGTATTGATCCCGGGTTTAGCATTAGTTTGGAGGCATATCCGTGTTGGACTTGAGAGAAGTTCATAAACATGTCCGTGGTAAAATGTTTGGAACACACAAACAGAAATCTGCCGTGGTCTTCTGGCACATGTCCCTTGAAAATGAAGTCTAGCCACAGATTATTTTCTTTTTCCACTGATGGCATTGCATGCAGTTCCCCTTCTCGAGTCTTGCAGCCAACAACAGCACAACGTTTAACTCGCTTAGACATCCTGGCAAGAGCAGACAAAAACACAGATGTGACTGGAGTTGATTTAGCCTGCCAATAGCCTATATGCGAATGAGAGGTTTGGCAATGCACGTGGCCGTGGCTCATTCCCCTGATAGGTGGAGAGTTGACCAATAAGCGGAGCACGTCTCTTTGAGTTGAGTAAAGTTAGAACGATATTGGCAGATTCGGATTTCACGGATCAATAACTCATGAACAAAATGTTATTCAGACACAAATGACGTCTCCTAAGTATCGTGGTAAGGTTGACAACGAACTACAATCACATGTTGATAAAAAAAAAAAGCCAATATGCGCATGGCCGTATCTACCATTGAGGTCACCGAGGTCCGGAACTCGGTAATATTTTCCGAGCTGTGTATAACAAAACGTGTGAAATAATTGCACTAAACGAGGTTCTTTGTGGTACTTCCATTTACTGACCATGGGGGCGCTGCATAACTACGTAGCCTCGATTAAAGCAAACAGAAGAAGACGACATGTATCAACAAACCACCGCAGCCCGGACTTGTATCGGAGCAGCGGAGGAGTGATGAGGTATCTAGAGATCTGAGTCCAGCGGGCTGCTTGTGTTTCTGTTCATCAGGACATCATATGAGCAGCAGATCCTGTGTGAACGCTCTACGTTAGTCAGTGGACGTCCGACAACATGCACACTAACTAACACTAACACTAACAGCTATAGGCTATACTTTGGTTTAAATTGCGTGAATAAACTAGCTAGAGAGCTAACGTTAATTACATTCATCCAATGTCAGAAGGATTACCTTTTAACAAACGTTGTAATGGTTTTCTTTCATTTCAATTTGAGTAAAACATTAAAGATATAACATTGTATTGTTTTCTTTTTACACTGACTCAGATATAATGAAAAGACTACGTCAGTCGAAGCTCAGCGTTGGTAAGGAAGAGACAGGACAGGCAGAGAGAAAGTGATGGAAGTCAGGGAGGAACTGCAGGTACAGTCACACAAAGATAATGTAGGCTTAATAAGCCCATCTATTATCTATCTATAACTATAGTCTTCATTTACAATAGGCATTCTTTTAAAACAACATACATCTATTGCAGTTATGATGTCATAATAACATACAATTGTATAAAACACAATTTCCTTACATCTTTGTTCTCTTTTTGAGAATCAAACGAAACAGATTTAAATTAAAAAAAGAATGCAAACGAACAAGTGAAATGAACTAAATGGCTGAATTTCTTTTAATTCACTGGCAGGAGCGACAAGTGAGGAGGAGCAAACAGTGAACAATGAGGGAGAGATTGAACAAAGAGAGAGAGGAGAGGACAGAGAGAGTAATGAACAGGAAGAAGACAGAGAGACTAAAGAAGATGGAAGAGAGGCTGCAGGTTATGGAAAGGAGAGAGACATGGAAAATGAATGTTGACAATGTTTTGTGATCATTTTAGCCTCTTCTCCATGTCCAGATCATTAATAGTAACAATCAACTGATTCTTATGTATTACACTTTCAAAAATAATTGATGCTGACATTGTCAGCCCACTGACATGGGTTGAAATCAATATATTATCCAATATGTGACCCCCCACAGGACTTAAAAAGCACCTAACTAGATCATGAAAATCCCAAAAATCTCGGGGGGTATACCCCGAACCCCCCTAACATGTTTGGACCTCGGTATTTAGGAAATCCTGGATACGGCCCTGAATATGCGCCGTCCTCAAAACTGGACAAATTACATTGGTCTCTATCTGCAGCCGGAAAAGGAATGAGTGCTCAGGGACCGTCTGCAAAGTGCAACTCCGAAAAAAGAGAATATAATAATATTCAATAATATTCACTAGCGTCACTATTATACAGTGGAGTGCTACCAAACTCACTACACACATCAATAGTCTCCTGGTGGTTGGACTACAGCAGAGAGTTTGGAAGAATGTGCTTTTGAATAATTTTGGTGAATATTTATAGTGTAAAATCTTCAATAAATATGGTATAATCTTCAATAGCGTCACTATTATACAGTATATGTCTCCCAAACTCACTGCACACATCAATAGTCTCCTGGTGGTTGGACTACAGCAGAGAGTTTGGAAGAATCTGCTTTTGAATAATTTTGGTGAATATTTATAGTGTAAAATCTTCAATAAATATGGTATAATCTTCAATAGCGTCACTATTATACAGTATATGTCTCCCAAACTCACTACACACATCAATAGTCTCCTGGTGGTCAGACTACAGCAAAGAGTTTGGAAGAATTTGCTTTTGAATAATTTTGGTGAATATTTATAGTGTAAAATCTTCAATAAATATGGTATAATCTTCAATAGCGTCACTATTATACAGTATATGTCTCCCAAACTCACTACACACATCAATAGTCTCCTGGTGGTTGGACTACAGAAGAGAGTTTGGAAGAATTTGCGTTTGAATAATTTTGGTGAATATTTATA